AACAGCTCATGGTCATCGCGCCGAATGGAACCTTTGTTGGGTCTCCAGGATATCCTCGAGGAAATGTTCTTCGCACTGATCCCGCCTTCAACGACAAGACCATGACCAATCTGATACCGCCTAATGGCCGGGCTAATCTGAGTCAAATCCTTCCGAGTGATCGTTTGTGCAAGGATACACAACAGAAACAGTCCCAGACCGAGGGTAGTCCAAGGCTTCAGGCAAGTGCTGGCGCTGCTATCGCCCTTCGCTTCCAGGAAAACGGCCATGTGACCCTACCCCAGAACCAGGCTGGGAAACCCAGGAATCGTGGGACGGTATATGTATACGGGACGACAAAGCCAAAGGACGACGAACGGCTTCTTGACGTACACAATGTCTGGAACAAGGAAGGCACAGGAGGTGACGGGCGCGGCGTCCTCTTATCAATGCAAAATTTTGACGATGGCCGTTGCTACCAGATAAACAGCGGTGCGATTTCCGAACATCGCCAGGCCACGTACCCGCACGAGGCAAACCAACTCATGGGAGCTGATCTCTGGTGCCAACAGGACATTGCGCTGCCATCTGAAGCGCCAACCGGCAAGCCCTATACGCTATACTGGGTTTGGGACTGGCCTACAGCTCCGGGAGTGGACCCTTCCTTGCCGAATGGAAAGCAAGAGATCTATACTACCTGCATCGATGTGGATGTGATTGATGGGCCTCCTACTCATGTCCGTATACCTGCGAACTACGTCGAGGATCAGTCCCTGAACAATGCGGCCATCCCATCTCAGTTCGCAGAGGTATTTGGAGTAGAACGTTCCTCGTTCTCTGCGCCTGTCTCTTCAACATCTCGGCTGATTCCGACACCGACTGCCGTACCCAAGCAACCGACACTAGCGACAGTGACTTCTTTCATTACTTTGACCAAGACTGTTCAGCCGAACGCCTGTCAGACCAGTCTAGGCTCATCAACACCTAGCTCTTCCACGCCCAGATTCTCTGCTCCAGCTTGGAACTGGTTCCGAAAGCCTGTCTAATTCTTCAACAGCATTATTCTCAAGGCAAAGGCTCGGCAGATCTGCGCTAGAGCTTTCGCATGTCAGCCACAGCTGGTACTGTGCATCTTTCTTTTTGACTCCGGTTCTTCTTTGTTTATAATGAATAGAAAGTGTTTCCAACCCAGCAAATCAGTTGAAGACTATCGTCTATGAATATAAATGGTAGAAGTAGAGAACCGTGTATGCCCAAGCTGTGTGGCTGCCACTCGCCAGGGGAATTGTCCTGTTCATAAATCTTTCAGCCAGCCTGATCATTCTCCAGCAAGCAAGGGCAACCAGTTTCGCATACCAGCCTACCATCAGGTTACATGCGAGAAAATGCTCGCCTTTGTTAAATGAGTGTTGGAGCCTGGACGAACGCAAGGGGACAATGAGGCCTCAGGCATGATTCCAAGGTGGGAATAGATCAAGGCACCATATTCCTGAAACACGCTAGTCCGCGCGTGGTAGGTCACGTGGAGGCCTCCAAATCTTTGGCGGCGGGAAGAAGGAAAAACGCTGTGACGAGGAGATTGATTCATATTATTAAATCTTTACGGAGTACTGAATGACCGACTTGACATCTATACCATGATTTGGAGCCACTGAAGAAGCTCCAATCGAGATTCTGGGTTGACTTTTGGTACAACGTCCCCGTCTCTGCATGGCTGCGTCTTTCTCCACCAACTGCGCCTCGATGATCCTAAACGCTTTCGGGGCTTGAGTCTTCAGTACCTCGCAAGTAGGTAATCTCCGACCTCCTGCTTGGCTCCCGCCATCCATCGATCGTCCATTTGTCCCCTAATAATAATAAGAAGAATGATAATCATTATTACTATCACTTGCACTGGCAACTAAGCACAGTAACTCTCTCTACTTGTGGCTTTTCCTCCTCGTTCTTCCTTGCAAACCCCTCCTCCCCCCTCTCTGTCTCTCCTTCATCGCTCTCCTGTTTGTTCTTCTTCATTACTATTGGTTGTTTTTCTTATTAACCGGAACCAGCTGCTGCTATATTTAGATCCTCCCACTTCCATCGCCTCAGTACCTTCAGACTGACTCGACAAGAATCCAAACGCGGGACAAAATTCCTTCGAGTCCAGTATTATTGCCTCGACAGCAATCAACCCGCTATTGGCTACAGGGTACCCTTATATTTCTCTTTCTCAAAGGCTCCGAATGGGCTTACGGCTCATTGCTCCATTGGTTCGGCATCTCGATTCGAAAGACAAACCGAGGCGTTCTGGGGGGGCTTTTTTTTCTCTACGAGATCAATAGCCGCGCGCTGAACCTATCTCGATCGATGATTGTTGCAACAGTCGCCAACTGAGGCACTGGAGTCATTTCGAATATCCTGCGTCTAGAATCGCCTCAGGGGTTTTCCAAAGCGACATCGACTTGGAGAATCCGGATTACATTTTACCCCAGCCTCATACAGTCGGTGGTTCATATTGTGCTTGTAGGCAAGGAGCTCTTAAAAGTACCTCTCAACCTGCATGCTTTCACTCTTATTGCTTCCATAGTCCCCAGCCATCTGCGTCGACTGGATTATATTGGGGGTTTTCCTCTTCATATCATCGGGCGTGTTGCTGCGACCTAACATTGATCGGATTCGGAGAGTCGACGACGCGATGCGAGACTAAGTCCCAACGCTTCCTTTACCGTCAAACAATAATCGCCTCCTCGCCGGACACATCTTTAACTCAGATCGCTTTTCTTTCCGGAGAGAGCGTCCTCATACCCGTCATTATTTGTCGTGCCTCTCCACGTCGATCTATCATGGCAACCCTAACCTCATCGGCTTCTCGGCCGCAGTCACAGGTGGTCACCTCGATGACGAACTTGTCGGTCTTACCTCCAATCATAACAGATGCTTCCGGGAAGACACAAATCGGGCAGCGGACATCGTCGTATGCGAAAGATCGTCTGTCAACGTACTCGAATGTTTCCGCAACTTCTCAGAATCGCTCTCGTCCTGGTTCGCATGTGTTCCCAATCTTCCATTCCAGCTTGCCATATGCGCTCGTTCGGGATTTCGCATACCCCCCAATCCACCCACTCCATTACGGTCCTCTGCCACCCCGTGCCTCCGGTGTTTCCACTCCGGCAAGTGAACATCGGCGCCTTTCGGACCCTCCCGCACCATGGGATAACTCGCGTGGTCAGTGGTCTTCGGGCGCTTGGAGAACGGATCAAAGTCCTGGACAGCAGCAATTACCCGCAATGTCGTTTGGCGATGGGCCCCCTTATAGCGAAGATGAAGACTTGCATAGCCCAGTGTTCTCCGCGTCGCGCCACCGCAAGAACAAGTCGACAGGGATGAATGCGAATGGCCGAAGAACGAGAAGTCCCGGTCGCGGCCATCAATCTGCCTATTTCTCCGGTGACGCTGACCGAGGAATACTGGTCAGCATGAACGCGGACGGCAGCGAGACTTATTATGTCAATGATGACGATGACGGGACAGATGACGGCCCCGGGGGAGAATATGTCACCTATCCTCCGAATGAGAGCCGACATTCTCACATGGGGAATGAAACTCACAGGGACTATCAGGAGCGTGAGCATGATGCAGGGTTCGAATCTGAGGACGATTATTCCGGTGCCGACCGATACTCGGGCGATTTCCAATTCGCGGTTGGCTGTCCCGATGAGGAGATGCATGGCAAAGCGGTTGCGCTGTTTGATTTCACCAGAGAACATGAGAACGAGCTGCCCTTGACGGAGGGACAGGTGATTTTTGTCTCATACAGGCACGGCCAGGGCTGGCTGGTCGCGGAGGATCCAAAGACTGGTGAAAGCGGTTTGGTACCAGAGGAATTTGTTCGGTTACTTCGGGACATCGAAGGTGGCCTGACATCGCTTAGCGTCGACCCAAGTCTGGATACTGAGGAGGATGATAGCACATACTTGAGCCCGGACTCAACCGACTCAGAGCAGGCCATCACACCAACTCAGAATGACCAACTGCCTCTGAGCTCTGATAGGGGGTCTGTTCATATTGCCAACAGCGCAACGAATCTGCAGAGTTCAGCCGTCATCCCAGCTGGCGGTGGCGAGACCGAATCGAACCCATCACATTTTCTGCACAACGGACAGGAGATCGACAGCGCCCCACCAATGGAACAACGAATGTCGGAGAAACAGAAGACAAAAAGGGAAAGCCAGATGGGTATGCTCTCGAAGACATGAGACATGTTCCTCAACGTTGGCCTTGCGCGTCCCAGATGGACTGGCTGCAAGGTGGAAGTGTCCCACCTTGAGTCCGTCGTGAGCGTTATGCGTTTACGACTCGGGTCCGTTTCTACAAAGACAGACGGATTCAAAGATTCTTCATTCTTGGCTGCTAGCCTTGAATGGGCTTTCAGGATTGCACTCATTGAGCAAAGTGCCAGCTGTTGTTGTCCAACCGCCCGGGAAGGCGATTCCAAAACGATACATAGTCCGGGTGACTCTAGACCAGTGTCATCCCATATACATGACACGATATATTTCATGACGAGATTTCGCATCGGATAACCTGGTGGATCAAAGGTTGAAGATGCTTGATATTTGACAAATTGAGCTCTCAGCGAAGGAAAGGGGATACGACTTCGCTTGTTGGCTTGAAACAAACCAGTAAAGGAGAACAGGCATTGTTCTTCTTGCGATTTCTGGCTTGTAAATACTTGACTTTTTCTTTTTCTGCATGGTTTTACTGTCTTCAATATCCAGCGCCGGCGTCATCATCTGTGTCAGCATCTGTTCTTGATTCTTGGGTCTTAAGGGGCTCATTATGCATGGTATGGGCTATCATTCTGTCAATTCTAGTCTCTGTGAGATTGGAAATCAATAAGAGATTATGCTAGTAACCAGGATATGCAGTAGATTGCAAGTGAATGGTATATATACTTTGAACCCATACGCCACAATATCCAACCAGCTACCCAGGTCCAAAATAAAGCCAGTATACATCCATCCCATCGTATCGCACCAAGTTCATCGCTTGAAATCCACCTCCGAACCGGGCAACTCGGCCATCCTCCCCATGGACCCCGGCAGCTCCGACGGCTTACCCGCCCCAAGCACCTTGCTGTCGCCCATCGAGGCCCCCAACTCATGCACCGCCGCTGCCCCCTGCGCATCCATCTCCTGCCTCATCCGCCCACCCAGCATGGGAATCTCCTTCTCGTCCATCTCCATCGCAGCAGCCTTCCCTTCGGGACCATGCTCATCTTCACGCATCGCCGACCCCACAGTAGAAACTGCGCCACCATCAGCGTCCTCGCCACCCCGCCCCGCCGGCTGTTGATCCCCCGCCTGCTGGGCGTCCGCAAGCCGTCGACGCCGCCGTCGGAACCAGAAGATGAACGCGATGAGCCCGCCCAGCGCCGCCGCGGCGACGACACCCCCGACGATCCCGCCGATCTGCGAGCTGGATAGTCCGTTCCCGGATTGTGGTTGTGCGGTGGGGGTTGGGGATTGAGTCGAATTGCTGCCTGTGCTTGTGCTTGTGCTTGCGTTTGTGTTTGTGCTCGTGGGTGTACTCGAGATGGGAAGCGTAGCTGTCCCTGTCGACGCGCGAGTCGAGGATGTGGCCGTGTGGTTCGTCATGTTGGTGTATTTCACGCAGCATTGGATGTTATTCGGCCCGGGGCAGGGCCAGGGGTACTAGATAGGTTTTCTGTCAGTTGGCAATGAGCTTTTTTCTTTTTCCTGAGCATGAGGTCTACCCCTGTGCCGGCGAAGTATGCGCCCTCCTCGCAGGTCTGGTTCGAGGTGTCGCGGCAGTAGCCTGTTCCTTCGGAGACGGTGCAGCGGCGCTGGAGGCAGCACTATGCGAGCATTAGTGTGAGGGCAGGACAGGGAGAGGTCAGGACTTGTCTTGCCGTGTAGTCGGTCGGGTCGCTTTGGCATTGGTCTGTGTAGACTATACCGACACCTGGGCAAGTTAGATGGACTTGTACTTTCGCAACGGGGTATGGAGTACGGAGGATAGGTACATTGAGAGGCTGGGAGACACTCTCCGTCGCCAATACCGCCTGAGCAGCCATTGTATGCCTGGTTGACTTGACGGGGGAATAATACGTTGCTTTCAAAGATGGGGTCGACGAACATGATCGTGGTCGTAGAATGGATAGAGATAAATGGCGCTGAAACTCGATGGAATTAATTACTGGAGGAAGATTCACTAGCAATACGAAGAGAACCTGATCTATCTATATTATATGCCTAGACCGTAGTGAAGTGATCAACACCCCCATAGCTAAAAACAGACTTCAAGACTGACACCGAATCAATCACGGTTCACTCGTGCGGCTGAAACGCGCGAACCAATCGTCCAGTCATAGACTGTGCCAAGTTCACGGAGCAAGATAGGCATCAGGGAGATGGAAGTACAAGAGTGCATTTTGTCCCTCGTATCTTCCCTGGGGTATCAGCCACTCATTGGATAGCCTCAAGTCTCCTTTACCCGAGTCTCTCTGACGGGGGTTACACAGCAAAGGAGGAGACTCGAGGGTCAAGATTCAAGAATGAGACAGATAACTACCCATGTGGTCCAGAGAGGGACCTAGTCTAGACTATTATTCTTGCCTACCAAGGTTACTCTGGACGCTGCGGTATGCATCCGGGGAGGCACTTTACCTGAGCGGGTGCTGATCGTCGAGACAGCGCACATTCTGGAGGGAAGGATGCAGGGAAAATACGAGCCCCTGTCCAGGGTCTAACCTTCGAAGACCCAATCTCCTTTGGCGATGATTCGATGGCCATAGTGGCAGGATTTCAGGTTCCATACGGAGTAGAGGCAGATGATCCATTCAGATGTCATGAATAACACCCGTAGAGGAAAGGGGTCTCTCAGCGGGGGTATATAAATGGCGACATATTAAGGGCCACAATCCACATACCCAAGCGAGGATGGTGTGCAGATAATCATCGTATCAAGGAGATACGAGTAGTGGTGCCAACCTTAATTCGACCATTTGCGTTCGAGGTCTTACAGCAGCTGCGCAGATCCCCAAATCCTTCTGGATGCTGGAGTGATGGGCTGAGGAAAGATTCAAATTGGCTTACTCAACAGCAAGGCATGCAGAAGATATCTCGAAAATAATACAGAGTGGAATAAGAAGACTGCGCTCATGGACAAATGATCTTTGGTGACTGGCCTTGAACCCTGTATATCGATTCCTACCAGAAACGAAAGAGAGATTGAGAAAAAATTTGCACTACGGAGAGTATCGTCTGGTAATCAAAAGCAAAGACAGAAAAAACAAATAAAACCATCAGAGATGAGAGACAATTAGCCCAGCAAATCGTCAAGCCCCGAACTGCCGGTCTTTGTCCCCTGTTGCTGTGTTGATGAGCTCATCGAAGGAGAAGGAGAAGCTGGAGTGAGACTGCTCGACGGGGCCGGGCTTCCCCAGATGCCCGCGCTAGCTTTCTCTTTGGCCATACTGGCCAGATTGGGCCCCTTGCTTGCATTTGCGGATGACTTTTGAATGCCCGCGCTGGCACTGGCGGACGACCAGAGAGACCCAAAAGCGTCACCCGACGACTTAGATGCCGCCGGCTTACCACCCGCCGATGAAGTACTCCGGGCAGAAGTGAAAGAGGAGGTCGAGGGCATGCCCGGCCGGTGGTTGGGTGTCATGGCCGTTGGTTGCTGTGCGGTGGCGGTGGTAACAGAGGTGAAGTAGTTGGGAGTGGCGGCCTGAAAGCCAGCCGGTTTGGGCTGTGCGGGCTTTGCCTGCTGCGATGGCGGCACCATGGAGCTTTGAGAAAGGGTGGGAGAGGCAACAGTGCTCGATGTCGGAGTCGGGGTCATTGACGTAAATCCGACCAAACCATTCAGGTTCGGCCCTTGCACGCCAGAAACGGGCCGAGGAGCTGCAAACTGAGTACTCGAGGTCGTACTGACCGTGGAAGCGGGCGCGGGAATAGCGAATTGGTTGGCTGCGGGCTGCGGTGCTGGCGTTGCGGACTGGAAATCATCAAACTCGTCATCGTCATCGACCGGTTTGGACTCGAGAATATCCAGGCTGTTACTGCTGGCAGGCTTCTTGCCAGCCGCAGTAGACGTGGAAGCAGCAGCGACCGTCTCTCCCTCGCCAAAGTCAAACAAGTCTTGTTCGGGCTCCTTGGGAGGCTCGGGCTTCTTCGCTTCCTGCTTGGGACGTGGAGGGCTGGGTGCGCGACGCCGCGCCGGGCTGGCGTCGCCCTCATCGTACTCGTCGTACTCCTCGAACCGGTTCCCTCTCCGTCCTGCATCCTGGAACTCGCTAGAAGCACCTCCAAAGCCGCCGCCGTCACCGTAGACTCCTCCACTGTATCCACCAAAGGACAGGCTATCGCTGCCAAATCCGCCGTACCTGCCGGTGGAACCGGAAAAGCCGCCCCCCATGCCACCCATTCCACCGGAGCCTATTCCGCCCTCGAAGCCACCAAACTTGTTGCGATTCGCCCGGGCCTTCTTTCTCTCGGTGCGAATAAGATCCACATCACCAAGCAGCTTCACCAGCTCCGACGATCGGTTGCGCACGTTCACACCTTGGTCCTTGCCGTTCTGGTCGATGTAATGAAACTGGCGTAGCATCCGGATCAGGGACAGGTGAGACCGGGCGTCGTCGACAACGCGTTCCGAGCCGTTCTTAACCAGAAATTCCAGCAGTTGAAGACTCTGCATGACACAAAAGGACGAATCAGTCTAGCCGGTCTCGGGTGGACACCAGCCCGCGTAATCGTACCTTGTAGATCTGTCGCCACTCCTCCGCGGTCTTGTCTGTGAATCGCTTGTAGATCATCGGCATAATTTCGTTCAACAGCTGGCTGTTAGCAATGGAGATTAGCATGGAGCCCAGATCCATCAAGTAATCGACATCGCGACAAGTACGGAGCGAGGGAGATAACTGACTAGCTGTGAGTTCCGTTGGCGATCTCCTGCATCAATGTAGTTGAAGCGCCCCAGGGTTCATTGTTCGTAGCTTCTCGGACCTGCTCGCAGTTAGAAACTTGCATACCGACCCGGACAATCCGTCATCGCTCTCTCAGGACAAGAGCGAAGCCGCCAATGCGACTGGCAGGGCGGCGACAACGAACCTTGGACTCCATCTCGGTGTAGTTCATGACAGCTAAGAAACAAGAATTAATACCAGAGCTTGTATTTCCCATAGTAGTCAACCGTTCAGGGCTGACGGAAATCTGGAGAGAAAGACGGGTTGCCAGTAGATGCTGCATTGGAGTACCTACCATTCTGCACCTTGCGGACTCCCGCCTTGAGATCATACAAGGTCAGGTTGCTGACCTGCTCTTTCAGACTGTTGAAATCCATGGCGCAGACTCAGCTTTGTCCGGTGAATTTGCACCCTTGTCAATTGACAAAACTTTTGAGAAACAAAAGAAAGAAAGAAAGAAAGAAGGAAGGACTAAAAATGCAGTATATGCAAGGACTTGAGATTCAGGACGAGAGAGACGGGGACAACGAGGAGGACGGGAGTTCGGAGATTCCAGCTGGCATCCGCAGTTGGGGCCCAAGGCATCCAGCAAGTCACGTGTGAACCCCTGATATGTCCATGTTCGCATGTACTAGAGATGTACATCATAGCAGCCTACAGTCGCATTATTACCCTTTCAGCGGTGTGATGACTTAGATATCTAGATTGCCTTCGGAAGCCGTCATATCATGTACTACTAAACACTATGGGACCAATACATACATAGAAGACTCGTCTAAATCATCACGGGGGAATCATCAATGGAATCAGTGAAAGGTAGGGTTTCAAGGAGAAGGCGGAATTTGAAAGGAACAAGCAAACATGTGAAGACTTTGCTGGGGAATCGCGTGCCGCCATGCCACGGCGCCGAAGCTGAAAGAAGGAGAGTTGATCGGACATGAAGTGGATATCGCTGGTAAGAAAAGGGTCATCATCAACTAAAGCATGCTGAACGAACTCATATCCGCAGATGAGGAACCACAATACTGGTGGAATAAAATAGAATGAGGAGGGGCGAAAACAACAAAAATCAAACAGACGTCATTAGGGAGAGTTCGGGATATTCTGCTGAATTTATCAATCCGGTCCCGCCGAGTACCCCATCATACCAATCATTCGTTATAGAACTTTCTCATAATCAGATGCAAGAAAAGATTCACGTTGACTCGTAAGTGTCCATCGAAGAAGTCCATGAACTGCATGTTGTTGAACTGCGCTTGCAACAAGTCGTCCAAGGGCACCTGGGCGTTTGCCCCCGGGACCATCATGGGACCACTACTGCCATCGAGGGTAAAGACACCGACTTCATTGCTAGATATTGTGAGGTCGACGCGGTCCCATTGGCGCTCCGAGTAGCCCTTCCAGTAAACCAGAACGCCCTTGTCTGCGAGGTTCCGGGCCGAGTACTTGTAGGAGCCGAACTTGAACACTTTGCCGGACTTCTGAAGCTCGCGTTGGTGGTCCCATTGTTTGGTAAATGGCATGAGGAATCGCTTCTTGCCTTTCTTGTTCTGCAAGGTCACCATCGCCTGCTCGATGTAGTCGTTGTAGGTTTTGAGCTGCTGTTCTAGCCAACCGGCTTGATCGTTGAGACGGCCCAGGGTAAGACGTGCGCTTTCCAATTCCCGCTGCCGCTGAATTCTACGGCGGTGCTTCGTGCGAATATCAATAGCAATGGCATTGAGGAGGTCTTGATAGTGGTTGTCACGGCGGATCTTGCCGGTCCGCTCGAGCTGGAGAATGTTCTCAAGTGCAGTCCGTTTCAGCTCCGAGTATGTCATGGATGCGATATCAACCAGAGTGCTCGCCTCAGAGTATGCGCTTCGCTGGCTGGTATTCGCGGTTAACTCGTCCCTTACTAAGGTCATCCATCGTTCTTCGTCCTCCTCAGTGGGTGGTTTGACCATAATTTCCATGAGATTGGCGCCCGTCTGAACCCTAATAATGTAGAGGACACATCGTTTCGTTTCCATGAAAAGCGCTTTGACATCTGCTTCGGGATCTGGGACGTTTTCCCGTTAGTCGATAGTCACAGACAAATGCCTTGATAACAACCACAACTT